GGGAACCTTTTCTTTCTAGTGTAGTGTTAAAGATGAGCCCCATCACAGTAATTCCTCTGGACAGACTAGATGAGCTAGAAACACTGCTAAAGAAAAGTGCAAGCAATCCCGCCCTCCACCTCACATGCTCAGTCACTGATAAAACACTCTGCTATTTTCTCTCATTATACTTTAAATTGTTTTAATAACATTGTACTCCCCATGAGACAAAATTTCCAAAGACTTATAAACCCTAACACATACTTCTGTACGTACACACAGATGCTAGATGGTTCCACAAAATTTATGTCTCCCTGCGGGCAGTGTTACCAAAAAGGTAAGGAAGTCACGGGTCTCAAGCGTTAGTTTCACATTTTTATTCCGTAAAAACAACAACATAAAGCCATATTCATAGAACAGAATACACATAAAGTGTTAACAGTGTACAAAACTAAAAGTTGGATATTTAACCCAGAGTTTATCCTGAGTATTATAAGGCAATTTCTTTCTTTTAAAAAGTAACACAAAAAACTATGTATTATTCTGGAAGCAAGTCATCTCCCAACTCTTCATCGGCAAAATCATCCTCGTCGGTTCGTTTTCTGGCTGCAGTTCTTGGTCTTTCTATTTGAGGGCCAAGTGGGTCCACATAGGATGCATCTAGGTATCAAGAGAGGCCGCGTCATGAGAGTGACACAGAAAAACAAAACATGAAACCAACTAGTCTCGTACCCAGAAGTGAACTCAGAGCGAACAGAAATGCTCTCCCAGTCTGTGCACACCGCGCCTGCAGTCACGCCCGGGTGCGCCGGTCTTCCCCAGGCCGGCTCTGCCTGCGGGAACTGGGGGGGGCAGCACTTGCCTATTTCTCTGTTACTGCTACTTTCATAAGGTTCATTTGTCCCAGGTAAAGCTCTGAGTCTGGCACTTAGTCGTTCACCTTTACTACCGGCACTACTGCTCTGGCCACTATCTGCAAACACAGAAATGAAAACGCATTTGTTCCATATGCTGAGAAAACATCACACCACGCATCTTAAAGCACACTTATTTTCCAAGGAAGAGGGAGACTGCTTCATTTGGAAGCCCACTTCTTAGGAATGTAACTGTTCTTTGAAAGAAATCACTTGCAGGAAACCTGTATCATATAAAAAGAACTCTTAAGAGTATATATATATTACACACTTGAAAGACTTTATGGACACATGTGGTCTTTCAAATGTGTGCGAACGTGTGAGATTTGTAAGAATTTTTTTGGTTTATGTCTTGTACTCTGAGTTAACTGCTTTGAAGATAACGACACACAGTGCAATAACTACTGTTATTTTCTTATTATTTGATTATGAAATTTTGTTTTATATTTTCATAAGATAAAAAAATAAAAGCGCTTAGTTACAGATTTCAATTTTACAGAAGAATTTGTTAGAAGCTGAGAAATCACCCTGACTGACACAACTTGGCAAAGGAGCAACAGCATGAGAAGAGCAGCGGGACGGCACGCGGTCCGTGTGAGCTGCGTCATCAGTCTCACGTCACACGGGTGGGAGGCCCTAAAATTACAGCATGTGGAAAATAACTCCACAGGCTGGGTGCGCGGGATCTAGGTGGCAGTGAACACAGATCACACAACCATGCTCTTCAAACATGAGAAGAATGCTCACACAGACGACGACTACATTTCCCCTTGTAGTGGCCGACATTGTGGCTCAGTATTAGGACAAAGTCAAAAAAAGAATTACAGTTGTCACTCATTTCTTTGGGAAAAGAATGCAATCTATACTGCTGAAGATTTTCAGACAGAACTGAACTGTACCATTATATACTCTAACCAATGACTTCTCTATCCTTAGCTCTTATTTTTTCCTTTTTATAGCCCCACGATTTTTGTTTTTGTTTTTGCAGTGCTAGATATTAAACTCTGGGTCTTGTGCATGAAAAACACATGGTATATTACTACACTACATCCTCAGCCCAATGATGTAATTTTTTTCTGTTTTGTAAACTTTATTTTTTTGAGAGTAATTCACCAACTCATTACTTATTTTACTGATGTTTCTGGGAGTAAATCAACAAGATGGTCTTATTTATTATTGTGGTGCTGGGATTGAACCCAGGGCCTCTCCCATGCTAGGCAAGTGCTGTACTACTGAGCAACACCCCAGACCTAAAATCTCCACATTTTGAGACTGGCTAATTTATCCAAACTAAGTTTTCTCCAAGTTCTTAATCAAAATACTACATTTCTTTCCTCTACAATTGATATTACTGGAAAATAAAATCCAGTAATTCAATAGTTTTCTACACTCCGGTATACTTTTAACTATTTTGCTCTTCTTTTTAAAAATTAGGATAAAGGCAATTTTCTTCCACCCATAAGTGTATATGGATCTTTTTCAAACTGAGTGAGCTCAGGTCAAGAAAACTTGAAAAACACTGACCTAGGCAGTATTTCTTTTGCTTTATTTTTCATACATGTTAGCAATAAAACTCTGAGAGCTCCCTTAGGCACCCCAAATCCTTCTGCTATCTTAATGTCTGATTTCCAGCCTGAAGGACTCAAATCCTGTGGAAAGAATGAACCTTTAAGAAAGGAAACGTGACCTCTTAAAAACGGTCAGTTGCTCAGTTGAAACATGAACCACTTTTTTTTTTGACATAGAGTCTTGTTAGCTGCCCAGGTTGGTTTCAGATTTGTGATCCTCTTGCCTAAGCCTCCCGAGTAGCTGGAATTACAGGTGTGTGCTACCATGCCCGACTTATAATACATTTTCCCACATCTTTTTAAAACTAGTGCATGCTGGTTATACAGATTCATGGGTTTTATTTTGGCAGAATCATACATACACATATTTTGATCAGTTTCAACCCCCATCACTCCCCTCATAATAGTTTTAGAGAATTTTCATTATAAACAGAGTGGGGGTATATTGTGAATGCTATCATTTCATCATTTTTAATCAACCTTCACAGAGTAATGTGCTATACGTGAGCAGACACAAATGGATCAGTAAGCATTTGTAAGGGTGGGTGCGTTTAATGCTTAAATAATGAAATGACACCATTCTTGAAATTAGAATACTTATCTCACCACAGAAGGAACAATGACCGCTATTTCCTGGAGGGAAGTTATATAATAAATAGGTTCAGAAAATAAGAAGTTGGAAATAAATGGATCTGAAATTTTAATTAACACTAGAACTTCCAAATGAAACTTAATATTTTGTAAGAGTAAACTCTTACAATCATAGAATTTAGAGTAAGGACTCTTGAAACTTATCTATACCAGAAAAAGAGAATGCTTGCAATAAAATATAGAAAGATGATTCCCAAAATAAACAATACAAATGGCCAATAAATACAGTTTATCCTTACATAACCTTAGAAACACATTAAGTGAAAAAAGCAAGTCAGAACATCCATTCTGAATGATAACTTCATTTGAAAGTTCAGCTGGGCACGGTGGTGCACACCTGTAATCCCAGTACTCAGGAGGCTGAGGCAGGAGGATCGTTGAGAGTTCAAGACCAGGCTAGGCTACAAAGTGAGCTCAAGGCCAGCCTGAACTGCATATTGAGACCCTGTCTCAAAAAGACAAAAAAAAAAAAAAAAGGTTTAAAAACAAGCCAAATTAAGTAAGTGTTATGGTTTAGACATGAAATGTCCCTTGAAGCTCCGGTGTGGGGGCTTGTCCCAGTGCAGGAGTGTCCATGGTGCGGCCTTTGGAGCATGACTGGATCATTTGACGGCATTACTTGGAGGTAAGGGAAATTTAGGAGGTGGGATCTAGTGGATGGGAGTGAGATCCAAACCCATGGAGTTCGCGGGGACTATATTTTGTCTTCAGCTCCTTCGTCTTTGGCTTCCTCTCTGCTTCCGGCTGCTTCACGAGACACTGATTTAACAACAATGTATGGTCCAAAAGCCTTTATGAGAACGCCAGAAACTACTTCACAAGCTGGAATACCTAAGCAAGCTCAAAGCCAAGAAACAGGTAAGAAAAGCCCTTTCATTTACAGTATGTCAGCTCCTCACCCAAGCCGGCATGGGACAAAAAGGCCAAGTCACAGCTTCTCCCTTGGGAAGAAAGGGGAAGAGTGGCACGTAGAGCCAGCATCCGGCTTCCGGGGGAGCTGCCCCAGGGCTGGCTCCTGTCGCACCTCTGCCTGCGTCCCAGGGAAGACCTGGTGTACGCTGGGTACTTGGCGGTCGCTAAGAACAAGAGAGCCCTGTGGCTTGCTGCAGGCTAGGGTACCACAGACGGACGCCAGCACGGCTCGCTGCGAGCAGGGCTTTCGGCTTTCCATTGGAGGGGAAAGGAGAGAGTGGAGTGTAAGGCAAATGTTCTGGCTGTGCGTGGCTGCTGGTGAACTGGTATCTACCTCATCTCACTGAGTAAGCGAAAGCTAGTCATCACCACTGGATCTTCCAGACAGGAATTGCCAAAGCCGGTGTGCTACCATACTCCTATAGTCCCAGCACTCTAGGAGGCCAAGGCAGGAGAATCACAAGCTCCAGCCCAGTCTGGGCAACTTAGTGACTTGGTGAGATTCTGTCTCTGACTGAAAATTAAAAATGGGTTGGGACTGTGGCTCAGTGAGAAACCCTGGGTTCAACTCCCACTACTGCAAACAACAACAACAACAAAATCCATATATTAGTAGGGATCAGAAGCAAGGTGTTTCCTATGCTAGGCAAGCACTGAGTCACTGACCTACGTTCAGTGTACCTACATGTGGCCCCAGAGGTAACCAGGAAGGTGAAAGCCACGCACATCAAAACTATAACATACTGCTGAAAGAAATAAATATGACAAATAAATGGAAAGGCATCCGGTGTCATGGGTTGGAAATTTTTATATTGTTAAAATATCTATCCATCCAAAGCAATCTAGAAAGTTAATCTTTAAAATCTCAATGGCATTTTCTTCCGCATAGAAAAAACCACATCCCGCTGGGTATGGCGGCGTGTGCCTGTAATCGGAACACTCTGGGAGGCCCGTGCAGGAGGATCACAAGCTCCAGTCCTGCCTGAGCAACTTGGTGACTTTGTGAGACCCTGACTCTAAATAATATGCAGATAGACAGACAGATAGATAGATGATAGACAAATAGATAGACAGACAGACAGATATAGTTGCATGGCTGGTTATGTAGCTCAGCACAAAATCCTGCCTTCAGTCCCCAATGCCGGAAAAAAAAAGGTCCTAAAAAATCACAGAATATCAAAGGAGGATCTCCAAAGTCAAAACAATCTTAAGAAAGAAAAACAAAGCCGGAAGCTGTGCACTGACTGTTTTTGAAGCCTGTCACACAGGAACGGAATCAAACAATGTGGTGCTAGTATCAAGCCCACCGACGTGTTTGATCAAACGATCTCTAACACAGCCAAGGGCACACAGTGGGAGGACAGCCTCTTTAATCAACAGTGCTAGGAGACCAGAAATCACACGGCAGAGGGTGAGGCTGGGCCTCCCCGAACACACACACGAGCTAACTGAAGAAGGGGAAAAGCCCTAAGTGTGAGCTATAACACTGAGAAGCTCCTGGAAGAAAACAGCAAAGAGCCGTCATGACATCGGTTTAAGGGACTGCTTCTTGGCTACGACATCCAAAGCACATACACAAAAGCAAAAACAGACAAATGAGGGAGTATCAAACTCCTGTGCAGCACAGGAAATACAACAACAGGTCAGTCAGCAGCCTATGGAGTGGGAGAAAATCTTTGCACAGCTTATGTCTGAGAGGGAGTTGGTACCCAGAATATATACAGAACTCCTAAAACTCAACAGCTAAACAGTCCAGTTAAGACCGGGCAAAGGGTCTGAATTTGTTGACTGAAATTTAATGACTTTTTAAAATGAAGTGCACATTTCCTCGAGTAAGGAAAATAACAAAAATGTATGTGTTTCCTTATTTGTACCTTTAACACCATCTGCGATGTTTTAAATTCCACTGGGTGTTAACTGTGCTTCTG